GTACGAAGAGCAGAAGATGGCTCAGACCATCCCGTCTATTACGTAAGCAAGGCGCGACTCCCGGAAGAAAAGCTTTACACGCCAATCGAGAAGGCTGTTCTAGCCGTAGTCTCAGCTGCAAGAAAATTGCGCCCTTATTTGCAAGAACACTAAGTCACCATACTCTCAAACCTGCTAGTGATGAAGATTCTGAGAGGAATGGACGTGTCTGGGATAGTTGATATGATCCCAAATGGCCAACTATACACGTTTAAATTACTTAACGAAGAAGCTATCCAAATTGGGCAGAATAGGAGCAGAATTTGGCCAAGTCAAAATCCGTGTTCAGGGTACATACTTTGGAGGCATGGTTCTCTCAATTGGCTTGGTGGAAATTCAAGGTTAAGGGTTTTTTTTTGTAGATAAAGTTTCCATGTTTCCAATGATATGCTTTGTGGAGCCAGATGATGTCATTAAGGTTGTTTTCTAAGACCTCAAATTTGCTACCTCAAAACCGGAAAAATGCCAGAAATTGGCTAAGGCAGAAAACTGTTTTGTGAAGCCTACTTTGGAGCTCAATTCAAGGAGCATGGATGAGATTCATGTCAAAAGGCTTCCAAAATGTGAAACTAGGTATGTTGGTGAACAAAGGGAAGGCATTGGATGAAGAATTGGATTTTGGGAAGGCCTCGAACAAAAGGCGCGAATTTAGTACGAAAGCTGCCTTTTGACTGTTTTGCGGGCAGCTTACTTGTGCTTCAAGAAAGGAAGTTTGTGTCCGAATTTTGTAACCTTTTTCGAGTATAATTTTACCTCATTTGTTTCCTTGTTCATCTAGGTTTGTATTAGGTTTTCTTGGCTATTAATAGCCTTCTATTTACGTTGTAAAAACTCAGACTTTGATGAATTGAAATTGAACCTTTGGGTTTTTGCAAGTTTGCGTACTTGTGTTGAGCTTTGGTGGATTCCAAGCTCGTTGAGCTCTTGTATCGATCAAGAACACGTTGATCGTGGCCGGGCATCTACTCTTTTATACCATACGAGCTTTCCCCAGGTGTGGAATTGTCCGTTGGTTCCATTTTATTCCAATTTCGTGTTAAGAATGCATTGTTCTTGATTCGAGTTCAATCAATCTTCGGATTGATTGTTTGTTGCGTTACTTTGATAACATACACCCCACAGGGGCGTATTAATGGTGGGGCGGTCGAGTTGGTCAAAGAAATCCACCGAGGAACATGAGCTTCACATTGTGGACCAAGAAGCCTGGAGAGAACGATATTGTTGCAAGGTTACTATTGGTCGACCGTGAAGGCGGTCTAAGGATGCCATGAATGTGAATTGCATGCCAGCAAACAACACCTTCCCAACTAGGAATTGAAAAGCATAATAGGTCCATGGACGTTTGAACGATGGGGGCTAGATCTTTTGGGGCCATTCCCTACTACTGCCTTGGGGAAGAACTATCTTGTGGTGGCCGTACACTATTTCACGAAGTGGATAGAGGCCGAACCGCTCCACACGATCACTAGTTCCAATATTTAGAAGTTCTTGTTCATTAACATAATGATCAGGTTTGGGATGCCTCATACCATCATCACTAATCATGGTACGCAGTTTGACTGCAGACCGTTCGAGAACTTCTGTGTTTGGAACCTTATTACCCGCAAAATGGCTTCAATCGCGTTTTCTCAAGCCAATGGGCAAGTCGAGTTGTCAAACAAGCTGATCTTACGGGGTTTGAAGAGAGGACTGAAGGAAGCTAAGGGAGGATGGACTGAGAGCTGCCACACATACTTTGGGCGCATCGTACAAATTACTATAGGGAAACCGGAGAAACTACATTCGCTCTGACATATGGATCTGAGGCAGTTGCACCAGTGGAGATGGCCCTCCCATCTCTAAGAGTCCAAGCTTACGAACCAGAAGAAAACCATAGAAAGCTTCTCCACAAGTTGGACATGATTGAGACACGGCTAGATGTAGTGTTAGATTAAAATGAAAATGACAAACGTAGTGAATATAATCACCGCGTTAGACAAACACGGTGAACATTTCACCGTTTTAGATTAAAATGAAAACGACGCGGATCGCTGACGTGGACAAACGCGGTGCATTCATCGTGTTAGACAAACACGGTGAATACCCCGTGTTTGTCCACGTCAACGATCCGCGTCGCGGAGCCGCTCACTGTTGTCGTTGGATGCAGTGAGGTGCGAATTGTGGTTTTCTTCCCAGATCCGACGCCTCACAGCGTCCCACGTCAGCTCGATCCGCTTGGCTTCTCCGTCTTCGATAAAGGCGGTGTATTCACCGCGTTTGTTGAAGGCGGTTATTGCTCTGCATTGATTTTTGGCAGAGCCCTCCCTCCCCCTATAAATAGATCCATTCCCCCCTCTTCCAAATCACACCACCCATTTACAATTCTTTCTCCCTCCATCCATCAACTCTAGTCTCGTTCTAAGTATGCTCTGTGGTTGCGACTAAGTCCGATCTTCCACATCAGAAGGAATTACTAGAGTTATACCCTAAAGCCCCCGTCCCTTATAAACCCTTCGAACCTCTATCCGGCTTCCGCCAAAAAATGGACGAAAAGGCTCTTCGGGTAGGTTTTTGGTTTTTCTTTTGGGATTTTTTTAATCTAAATAATTTGATTTGTCATTTTTTTTAATCAAAACAATCTGATTTCATTACTTAATTTTTGTAGATGAGTGCCGAGATATACGATCCTCGATTGTATATCCATTATGGGCAAAGAGATACGAAGTATTTAACCGATCAAGAAGCACATTGCTCCCGTGCAATTTGGGACAACAATCCGGTAAATTGATGATTTATTTTGCTTTCTTTTATTATTTTATAAGTTTTTATTTTGCTTTCTTTTAACTAACAAATTGATGTTTTCCTATTTTTTTGTAGGAATCACTTATTTCCGTCATTCATAAAGGGACCACAAACCTTCCCGCTTGGCATGATCGGTTGGCGCCGTATATAGAGAGGACCGGGTTGGGTATGCTGTGGCATTTCATGCGGATTGAAATCGACAACGATCTGCTTACGGCAATGTCGGAGCGATGGCGCTCCGAAACCCATACGTTCCACCTTCCGGAGGGGGAAATGACGATCACCCTCAAAGAAGTCGTTCTCCTCACTAGGCTGCCGATTTCTGGAGAGGCCATGATTGGTACCACTACCAAACCCGAAGGTGGTTGGGGGCCTCTCATTCTTGCTTAATTGGGATTTGACATGCCGACCACCACACCAATTCAAGGACGGGGGAATCCACCATTGAATGCGGGACAAGTGTCAATCCCGTGGCTCGTAACTCACATCCAAAATGAGGTGGAAATCAATGACGAGACTCCGGAAGATCAAGTGGAGTGCTATGCACGCATCTACCTCATTGGTTTGGTGGGTGGATTTATGTTCCCCGACAAGTCAAACAGGTGGATTCAAGGCATATGGTTGCCATTGCTCACTAGTGACTGGGACGCAATCGGGGAAAATAGTTGGGTATTGGCCCAGTTAGCTGGCATATATAGGGAGCTATGTACTTGCTCGAAGGTGGGAGCGAGACAAGCTGGTGCGGCGATGTTCATCCTCCAGCTCTGGGTATTGGAGCATCTTCCAATGTTCGCACCTCAAGACCCACGTCCATACTGGAGAGCAGATGATGAGCTACGATTTGTGCAAAATCTCCCCTATGGTGCCAAGTAAGTTTATTCCGTACTTAGCTATATTTAAATTTATTTAATGCTTAGGTAGATTTAAATTACATTTATTCCGTACTTAGCCTAATTTCAAATTTATTTCACGCTTAGATAGATTTAAATTACTACCTATTTCGTACTTAGCCTAATTGCAAATTTATTCCATGCTTAGCTAGATTTAAATTACTACTACTTAGCCTAATTGCTAATTTATTCCATGCTTCTTAGATAGATTTAAATTACATTATTCCATACTTATCCCAAATTTAAATTTATTCAATGCTTTTACTTACAAGATGGATATGAGCAAATACAAGCGATCATCAACCTGAGCACTCTTTACTGTTTTATCGTTCTGAGTTAGATAAGCCTTGGTGGAACCAAGTAATCATGCTTTATCATTGATTTTAACAATTTAATTTTTTTCAATGTAAATGGTCGCTAATTGCAAATTATGAATGAGTATAGGTTACATGGGACCCATATCCACGTGAGGTAGTCGAGCTGCATCATCTGAGACACCCACAGGATCACGAGTCGTGGTTGTGCAAGGTGCCATTGATTTGCTGGCACATCATGGAGTGGCACCTACCCGATCGATCCTTGAGGCAATATTGATTGGAGCAACCAATTCCACAAACCCCGCCTCAAGGTTTCAGGGAGCTCCATGCCATCGACCATGGTCTTTGATATTCCAATTCATCTGAAAAGTGTTCACCTCTTCAAGGCCATCGGTGACTTCTGTGGATTCCTGATCGAAATCGATTGGGTCTCGTGGTGCTCCCATGCTGCACAAATTAGAGTCCGGGCGTCTCGTGATATTCCGAACGAATTTCACTCTTCTTTTGTTCACAATGGTTCAAAATCAAGGTTTTTGTTTCGCCGACGGTGTCTCTTGCCGGAAAGCACTGCCAACAGTTGTTGATTAATGGTGAGAACTCAAAAGGTCGTAAATCCAATTCCGAGCCCTAGGGTATTGCTTGCTGACAAATAGCAAACTGGGAGCGGGACAGTTGCAACTTGGGTTCCGGATCTTCTGGAATAGTCTCCATGGACATGCATACCGCTACCCATGCTAGGATTTCTCATATTAATTGTGATGGCTATGATTCTCACGCGCGTGGAGACAAGCGTGCGTAGCTTCAACCATAAAAGACCATCTAGATAAGAAAATTTGGGCCCATCTATCAGCCCACTTCCACTCCTTGTCCGGCTCCCCCACTCTCGCCCAGAACTTTTGCCTACTACCATTTGGCCCAAATACCTTCTTTGTCCCAGCCTGTTCAATTTGCTCCTAAACCCAATCCATCGACCCATTTCAGTCCCAATTCCCTTATCCATGTTGAGACTACCCACCTCTGGCGCAAGTCTTCCATCCCTTGCTTCCACCACATTCCCAACCTTCACAGAAATTACCCACCTCTTGCGCAAGTCTTCCATCCCTTGCTGACTCAGATAATCAAGCCAGAATCAAACGGTTTATTGGTAGGCAGAATCCGAAAATTGTGGTTCTTGTTGAAACTAAATGATCACATTTCAACCGCGATACTGTGAGGAGAATCTGTGGCTATAGAGATTTTGATTGGGATGCCAAAAACTCTACTGGTAGTTCGGGTGACATCGTCATTTATTGGGATCATTCCTCGTACAGAGCTATCACCAGGAGAGAAGGTTCCTTTTTTCTAAGTATTGAATTACAGTATGTTGTTTCTCTTAAATCTTGGTATTTGGTGGTGGTCAATGGAGCACAGGAGAGAGAGGAAAAGTTTTGATTTCTTGACGAACTCCATTCCTTCTGCAGTCACTTTGATGCTCTAGTTTGCATAACGGGGGATTTCAACCTTGTTCGCAGTCATGACGATTACAGGGGAAATAGGAGTGGTTCTACACTCATGGATGCTTCCAATGCTTTCATTGATGATAATGCTCTATTGGACATCCCTGTTAATGGTAGGAGATTCACATGGAGCAGGGGAGGTAATTTCGATAGCCTTTCAAGAATTGACCACGCTCTCATCTCATCTGCTTTTGACGACATGTTTCCTGAGTGCTCTCTTTTAGCTTTAGAGCGTGTGGAATCGGATCATAGTCTGCCTCTCCTCAAATTGGGAAGCAATTTAAGGGTCGTGAGGCCATGGAGATTCGTGAACATGTGGATTGAGGATGATCAATTTTTCACTGCTATGTACTCTTAGCTGGCTCTTCCTTTGCAGGGGAGGGGTTCGATTTTCTTGTGGGCTAAAAGATTGCAGAATCTTAAAGGAAACTTAAAGTGTGGAATAAGGAAGATTATGGAGATATCAATTTCACATCAATGAACTCCTCGCCAAGATTACTGATCTAGATAATAAGGAGGAAGATGGACCTCTCTTTGATTCCGAAAAGAGCGAGAGGGAGTGTCTCAAAATTGATGTGGCTAAAGCTCTTTATCTGCAGAAAATTCATTGGAGGGAGAAATCTAAAAAAAATTGTGGCTGAGATTTGGAGATATGAACGGTCGATTCTTTCACAAGGTTGCCAACCACAATAGAAGACTGAAAACTTTTCAGTCTATCAAAATCAATGGCGAACTCGTTGAAGGCTGGGATAATCTTGCTAACGGAATTGTTGATTTTACATGATGATGCTTCATGAAAATCTGAATAAACGTTCCTTCCCGCGAGCCCCTTCTTCCTACAAATGATGCATCTATGCTCATTCGTCCTTTTTTGTAAATGGAAATTTGGTCATCCATCGCCATTAGTGATGGGGAAAAACTCCAAGACCAGATAGATTCGCCTGGGAGTTTTACAAAAAGTGTTGGCCAAAAAGTGTTGTGCAAGTTTTTAATGAGTTTCATTCCACTTGATACCTTCCTAAGAGTGCAACTCACTCCTTCATATGTTTGATACCAAAGAACAACACTTTTTATGTTCACTCCATGTACAACTTTCTCCATGAAACAAATGGTGATCCGCACACAATGTAGTCAAAAGCGAGTTTCTACATAGAAACGTTTTGGTGATCTAGAAGCGTAAAATCGTAAGTTTTTAAGTTTTAATGCGGAGTTTTTAACTACATAAGCTATAAAAACTAAGATTTTGTGTAGAAGCGTTTTAGTGATTTTAAAGCGCGATTTTGACTACATTGTCTGCACGGTCTATACTCTTATAGATAGAGTACTTATAGTAGAATTTGCCAGCTAATAAATCCAAGGAATCCAAAAATGAAGATGATATTAGAACGAGTGAATCATATTTTAATGATACAACTCTTAGCAAGAAATAACGAAGAAACCACCAAGTATAATTGGATAATTAAAAATTCAATAAAATGGCAAAAGAACGGACAAACCATAGCTAGTTATGCCGCAATGTTTAGTCTTAAATAAATTGGCACACTCTCACTTAATGTCCCCAAAGTCTCTAGAACTTCCCTTTAATTTGCTGCACAATATTCTTGTTAACTTGGAACGCCTTTGCGAGAATGTCGGTGGATATGTCAGGCTTGGAGTCAAAGACAGCATTGCCAATGGTAATAACTCCTGGGTTTTGGCTATTCAAACCAGAAATCGTCACCGCATTCATGTTCCCAATATTCCGTTGGTAGTGAACCAACCCAACCGGGAACACAAATACATCTCCCTTCTGAAGGGTTTTGGAGATGAGGCGATTATCAGGATTTGATGTGACGAATCCAACTTCAAGAGATCCCTCGATTACTGTGATAATTTCAGTGGCTCTAGGGTGGTAATGAGGAACAACGACGCCCCATGGAGCATAGTCGATACGGACCATCGAGATTCCCAAAGTGTTCAGCGCTGGAATTTGAGCCACTGTGACAGGGGTGATAGCAGAGCCAAATGGGTTGCCTGTGTTGCCAGGATTGTGGAGCCCGCTGAAGGCGAAGTCGTTTGCCTGAACCCAAGCCGGGTTTTTGCAAGCGAACCCATTCAGTTTCACTGCAAATGAAGAAGCAAGGCAACCCAATGATAAAGATACATATCTTATGTTAATTAGAAAGTACTAGTCGAATACCATGTCGATATATATGGTATGGTAAGTAGTACCCTTGGTTGTTACTATCTGCCACGCAGAAGTCCTGAAGAGATGCTGGGTCGGCAGCAAATGTGAGAAAACAGGAAGTGAGAGCCAACAATAGGCTCAGCAGAAGGACTACTTGAATATATGCCATCCCGAAATAGCCCAACAGATGTAGAGCACTGAGAAACGATAAGAAACACTTCACACGAAGAAGCAAGAAAAAGCAAAGTATGGGTGGATTTGATCTATGCCTAAGTATGCCGGTTGAAAGCTGTTTAAATAGAAGTTCTAATCAGTAAACCGGGTACTGCTTACGGAATTAATTAATAAACAATAGTCTAGCCGGCAGTAACAATTTTCTGGTAATCTACGAGGCCATCAGCTGTCCTTTAGTGATTAGCTGAAATTTTGAAAGATAATAATGAAGTTGTCGCATGTGGTAACAGTGCGTACTCATTATCCGTTTCCATTTTCCAGGTTCGGTTGTTCATACGAAGGAAAAGGCCAGGAAGCATGAAACAATAGCGGTGCATGATTGGCAATCAAGGTCGACGAACTGAACCGGTCAACAGATTCTTCGAGCCACTTCATACCAAATTATATGATAGTAAGGTTTGGAAAACAGTTAATGAAAAGGACGGCTTGCGATTAGCTGTGATTTTGTAAGATTGTGCCTAATGAATAACGATTATCGATTCCAGGGTTCGGCTAATCGGCTTTTCAAACGAAAAGAAAAGGGCAGGAAGCAGTATTGAACTGGTCATAATTAGATTATTAAAGCCACCTCGTACTATGTGATGCATGTGATCTAGGTTCCGAAAGCAGTTAATGAAATCGACGGCCTAGATTTAATTAAAGAAACAACACACCTTGACCTTGTACACATTTTGCGGAATTCATTCGGCAATTAGAATTAAGGTATATACTTAACAAACTAATTATTATTATTTTATAATATATATAATAGCGTAAGTACCTATTATTTATTTTTACGGTTCCTCACCACATTAATCATCACAACATTGTAAAAAAACAAGTGTATATTTATATGCATAGAAAACTCTGAAATTTCTTCTCCTCACCCATGATTCGGCCATATCCCTCCTTTTCCTAACCAAAATATGACAATGGATCCCACAAGAACACTAGAAATAACTCATAAATAAACCTCCAAAAGGAAATTCAAATACTAATAAAACAAATGAACAATACTAATGTCCCAAATAATAATTAAATATGAAATAATTAAAGAAAAAAATAAAATAAAGTATGAACTCTATAAATTAATAATCGATAACTTAGTAACCTAGTATAAATTAATAATTGAATTTCTCCAGTCCTGACTTGGGCTAGTGTAAGAAATAAGCAAATTTAATAAAATAACGAGATAATAATTTATGAGAACCAACCTACATAAATTCGTGTATTTTGACTCTATAAATTAATAATTGTAAAAATACAATTCATCTAGAAATTTTTGGACACCTTTCAAATGAAGTCATTGGACATATTAACTGCATTCCTCTAGAAAGTCCGACAGACGTCAAATCGATAACCTTAACCAATTGGACATATTAACTACATTATCTCTTAAACCGTGATACTTTTATAGACCGCCACAAAATAAGATAGGACTTTGATATAGTGACTTGCAAGTCACTGTAACATGGACAAAATGATCGACCTGTTCACTGATAAGGTTGACCTACTTGGACAAAACGGTCGACCTCTTCACTGATATGGTCGACCTATTTGGACGTCGACCCTATTTGTCATTTGCTATGTTCAACAAATGGTCAACCTCTTCCACTAAAAGACACTATACAAAACATGATCTAGCACTTCCATCAAGTGGTCTACCTCTCTTTCTCCAAGCAGTCCACCTCTTTCAAAAATGGATCCACCTGATGAACCATTCCTAGTGATATCATCATATATATTTAGAGTCCAATAACAATAGATATGCTTTCTAGTAAGAGATTTAAAATTAGTACAAAGGCTACAAGCATAGATGACAAGTTTCTCGAGTGAATGATCCGTAGATTTGAAAATTGTTACGGATATTTATTTCTTATGTTGTGTTACTACAAAAACAATTTGATATTGTTGGTCTCCTATTGTCCATTATTTTCCTAATGTAAGAATAAGGTAACTGTGTTATATGGTCGACTGGTCGCCGAAAGCGGAGATCATTTGTCGAAAGAGATATGTAAACCATTTTGCGGAATCGCTTGGTTGTTCTGGTGGAAGCAATCTACCTCATCCAACAAGCAGTTGTAAGTTGATGGTAAGTGTGTCACCTATCGATCCATTGCCAGAAACGGTAGACCGACTGCCTCGAATGGTATACCACTTGGTGGAAGAGGTCGACCACTTGGAGGTAAGTGTGTCATCAGGTCGACCTATTACCGGAAGTGGTAGACCGGATGACTCAGGTCGACCGCTTGAAGGTAAGTGTGTCATTAGGTTGACCCATTTCCAAATTGGTAGACCTGATGACACTAGTGGTAGCTACACCACTTGATGGAAGAGGTCGACCGTTTTCTCCAAGTTATGGTGACTTGCAAGTCACCGTAGGCATACCCAATAAGATATGATCACGGTTTTTAGAATTACCACTATTTATTTGTAATTTTATGCGAGAACGTCGTGGCCGAGTTTTTGGAGTTGCACGTCATACTCTTATTTTGTGGAGTTGAAGAGGGATTTTAGTTCTGCGCTTTAGATCTTAGTGTGGTTGAACAATACTGTTAAACTTGACACGCTACGACACAACACCTAACAATGGCCAAGTGTAACCAAAGAAAGGGACTGCAGTATAGTGGCTCAAGTAATAAATATCGAATCCACGGGTCTCTAGAGTTACTATTACTCAGCTTCAGTTCATTATCTAGCAAACCAGATTAAGATAAAAGAACTAAAACTACTCTAGCAAACTATAGTTAAAGTTAATCTAATTACAGGTTGGGAACTCACTTAGGTATGATTCCCCCTAGCCACTAGCCAGATTAACGATTGATGATCTCTAACTTGTTTCAATTTCATTCACAATGCGGAGAATCCTTGACTAGACCTTAAGTCTCGACTAATGGAACAAGGCCCTCTTGAATCAATTGCCTAGAGAAACGTATCCTTCTCTAGAACAACCGCTCAAGGCGTTCTGAACTAGACTCCCTCTATCGAAAGAGGTTCTCAATCGATACAAAGCAGTGAATCAACCCTCGACTAAAGCAATCGATCCAATACTTTCAATCTATGGTGCTCTATTGACCTAATCATGTATTCGCTCTCATAGGATCAAAGCAGAATCAATAATCTCCACTAAAGCAGAATTGAATCATGAAAACATGCATAGATTGAATATAAACTCAAGATTATCAAGTCAGAGTACTCATACAATCATCCAAACAAACATAGCCAGGGTTCCTCAAAACCTAAATGAAGGGAAGTTACTCCATAGAGAAGAGAGAGACTGCAGTAAGAATCTTCAGATGATCAGTCTTCAAGTCCGGGCTTGTTCCTCGAGCTTCCAAGGCGAAGAAATCCTCCAGTTCCACTCCATGAATGCCCTCAAATCGCCCTCTCTCTCTTTGGTTCGTCCCTAGGGTGTTTGGGATCCAAAACCCAGCTCTCCCTCTCCCTCTCCTTTGGCTCGAATTTGGGTTAAAACCCAGAATTTCCCGACTCACACGGCCGTGTGACTCTCCCAGGCTTCCTGTGCTAGTGTCAAAACGCGGAGTTTCGATAAGTGGCTTCAGGCTTCCTACACGGCCACGACCCACCCGGCCGTGTGGACTTCCAGGGTGCCCGTGTGAGTTCCCTGGAATTTCCACACGGCCACAAGGGGTCCCCTACACGGCCGTGTAGCTTTTAGGCATGCCCGTGTGGCTTCTCAGCTTCTCGCCAAACGTCCAAACTTCGTCCAATCGACCCTGAACTCGTTCCTAAACCTTTATTCACGTACTAGGACCTGAAATATCACAAACAAGAACAACCTAGCGTGAAATCGGCCTAAAACGCGAGAATCGACATCTCAAACGGCTCAAGAATAGGGTAAAAACATGTGTAATTAACGGTCTATCAATGCCCAACGTTGCGTTGGAAGTGAATCAACCCAATTGGGAAGACAAATACATCACCCTTCTGAAGAATCTTTGAGATAAGGCGGTTATCGGGGTTTGATGTGATGAATCCGACTTCCAGAGAGCCATCAATTACAGTGAGAATCTCGGAGGTTCTTGGGTGAGTGTGAGGAGGATTGATTCCCCATGGCGCAAAGTCAATACGACCCATCGAGATGCCTAAGGTATTGAGGCCGGTAATTTGAGTCACGGTGACGGCTGTGACGGCAGCACCAACAGCATTACGGGTGTTCCCAGGAATGTGCAAGCCGGTTAATGAGAAATCGTCGGCTTGGACTGTCGTGGAACTCTTGCAAGCGAAGCCGTTCATTTTCACTGTAGAGGGAATGAATCTCGAATTCAATCGAACAGTTTACATTAACATTATAGTCAAACTCGAATAAATGTTAGTAAGATATATATGCATACCTTGATTGTTTCTATATGCAAAACATAAATCCAGGAGAGATGCACGATCAGAGGCAAATGTGAGATGCCAGAAAGTGAGAGCCAGCTCACTACGGGAAAAATGGCCTCTTGCAACCCAAAAAAAGTGTTGCGTAAAGCCTTAAAAGAGTTGCAACATCCTAATGCAACACTTTTACAAGAGTTGCGTATCGTGGGGGGTTGCAAAAGGAATATGAAACCTTTTTTCATTTTTGGCAACCAAAATAAAAAGTGTTGTTTATAGGATGAGGCGATTTGTGACAATTTTGTTTGTCACAAATGCTAAGATTTGAGTGACAATCTCGTCACCAATAGAGATCCTTTTTGTGACGAGTTGTTGGCGACACAAAAATGCCAACGATGACGTCTTTAATTGTCACAAATAATTGTCATAAGTGACCATAGTTTTGTCACTAATACACTTTCTGACATTCATTGTATTTTGTAGGGTAGCGTTTTGTTGTCACTGAAGTTATAATATATGACGATTTTTATTGTCACGTATGTAACCCTTTATGTGATGAATTTTTGGTTGTCACTCATAATGTATTTATTTGACTATATGAATGTCGCAATAGAATCATTTTGTGACAAAATTTTCATCATGGAAGCAACATAAGCTAGACAACTTATTCACGATAGTAATTATTGGTGACCCGTATTTCATCACAAAAACCTAGCTTTGGTATTCCTCTTCAACATAAGCAAGACGACTTATTCACAAAAACCTGTATATTCACTTGTTTATTCATCTTCAACATCTGGCATTGTAGTTTCATTTGAGTGGATGTCGCCAGCAGCTGTCGCTTCAGCTGAATTTGGAGCATGATCATCTTCCACATCGTAGACCTCCTCTGGATCTGTCACTCTGGCATTTTTCTCTTCCGGAATTTCAACGAATATTCCTTCAACGTCATCCCGTGCCCACTGTAGCTCCTCGTGTTATCAATTGGCAAGGTGGGTTCTAAGTTTCCGACTCTAGTTGCTGCAGAACTAGAAACAAACACACCTACTGAGCTATCGAATTTCATGTCAAATAAGTCTCGAGGAAGGGTCTCCATAAAATAATGCCAATCCTGTTGCACTGGATCTTGCACATAAAATCCTTGATTTACCTGGTCTGTCATGACAAAGGGGTCATTTTGGTACTTTAATCTTCTAAAATTGACCCGTATGAGCCCATAATCATTCTTTTCCCAATCAAACGACCTGCACTTGAAGATGACAACCTTGAAATGGGAATAATAATCCAACTGAATTATCTCTTCGATAGCTCCATAGTAAGAGACATTAGCTAGCACAGGATTTTTATCTTTGGAACTCGCATAACTTGATGTCATTGCTGTCAACGTTACCCCACTACTTTGCGTCTGCAAGTTCTTCTCATGCCCCAAAGTATGAAACCTGTAACCATTGATAAGGTATCCCGAAAAGCTTTGAGCAATATAATTCGGACCAGAAGCTATGTGTTTGATCATATTAGAAGCATGTTTATCATATTAACACGAGACTCAAGCCATTGTACTATATCCTGTGCTTGACTTTTCTCTCTTGTCCACTTCCTGCTCTTGCGTTTTTTTATTACAGATTGATCATACTCATTGCAAGAACCAGTAACACATGAGCAAAAGTAGAATGAAGGGTTTTGCTAAGGTTGACACAAGTACAGTAACCACATAAGTATAATAAATAATAATTCAACATAATATGTTTAATAGAGACATTATCATCATCTTATACTTGATCAAGCACAAAACTTTCAAGAAAATATGCTTACTTGATATATGCAGACAACTCAGGCAAGTTGTCCTGGCAATTAATAATGACATATCGTTGAGCTTGGATAAGAACCTCATCATTCATCTCAATCAGATTACCCTTCCCATTCCTTTTGGCTCCAAGTGGTCTACCTGTAATGGGGAACAATTCTCCAGGATTTGCCTCTACTACAAATCCTTCATAATTCCTAGAAGGTCGAGTGAACCTTGTATCACCATTCTCACTCAAATACCTTGAGCAAAAGATCATACATTCCTTAGCAGAATTCCCTTCGGCTATGCTTGCTTCTGGTTGATTTCTATTTTTCACAAAATCCTTCAGGACACCCAAAAATCGCTCAATTGGGTACATCCACCGTGTTTGTACAGGCCCCCCAAGCCTAACTTCTTCGACCAAGTGAATAGGTAGATGAACCATAATGTCAAAAAAGCTGGGTGGGAAAATCCTCTCTAATTGACACAGGGTCTCAACAATTTCAGTTTCCAATTGATCCAACTCACTCAAGGTTATAACCTTCCGACAAATGGCCTTGAAAAACTTGCGAAGCCTAATCAGAGCAATAGCGACATTTTTGGGCAGAGTCTTACAAACAGCAACTTGGAGCAAGTACTGCATCATAAAGTGAGCATCATGACTCTTGTATCCAGATAGTTTCCTCTCCTTCAGATTGACACAATGAGAAATGTTTGATGCACAACCATCTGGCACTTTAAATACTTTTAAGACCTGACAAAAAATATATTTTTCATGTCTGGTTAGCCAAAAGCAAGCTCTGGGCAGTTCACTCTTCCTATGATTTAATGATTCTTTTGGATGAAGCTTCTTTCTGATTCCCATATCACGTAAATCTAGACGAGCATTCAAATGATCTTTGGTCTTCCCAGGAATGTCTAACAACGTTCCCAAAACATTGTCAAAGACATTCTTTTCTATATGCATCACATCACGATTATGACGTAATGGATGATGCTCCCAATAAGGCAAGTAAAAAAAAATAGACAACTTATGAAGTGGAAATCTTGACTCGCATTTCTTATTGTCCCTCTTGCCGAAATCATTGATGAATCCTGATAGTTTTTCCTTGATCATAGAACCAGATATAGGTTGAGGTCTCGGTCCAAACTCCGTTTTCCCATTAAAAGAGCTCTTGTCCCTCCTCCACTCATGATCAACATCAAGAAACCTGCGTATCCCCATATAACACATCTTATGACTGTGACTCAAATGCTGAGAGCATGTGTCATAATTACAATTTGGACAAGCATATGTTCCTTTTGTGCTATAACCAGACAACATGGCATATCCAGGAAAATCACTGATGGTCCACATCAAACTAGCACGCATGTTAAACATTTGCTTGCTATGGGCATCATAGGTCACTACTCCCTCACTCCATAAAGTCTTCAACTCATTAACAAAGGGTCCTAAATAGACATCAATATCATTTCCTGGAGATTTTGGCCTTGGGATAATCGAAGACAACACCAAGTACTCCGGCTTCATGCACATCCAGGATGGTAAATTGTAGATTACCACTACCACAAGCCACGTGCTATGATTACTTGTCATAGTCCTGAATGGATTGAAACCATCTGAAGCAATGACAATCCTGACATTTCTACAATCAGCTGCAAAGTCAGAATATAAGCTATCAAAATCTTTCCATGCTTGGCCATCTGCAGGATGTCTAAGCTTCCCATCTTTGATTCTCTTTTCCTCATGCCATCTCATATATCCAGCTGTTTTGGAAGACATGTACAACCTTTTGAGTCTCGGTATCAAAGGAAAGTAGCGAAAAATCTTAGCAGCAACTTGTTTCTTAGAAACAGTACCTTCTTCAACACTATCTCCCTTATCCTCCAAGGGAAACTTGTATCTGGATTTCTCACATTTTCTGCAACTCTTCAGCTTACTGTCTTCATCACCATCATAAAGCATACAATCATTTGGATAAGCATCAATCCTCTTGTAGTTCAACCCTAAACCCTTAATCATTGTTTTCATTTTAACAAATGACTTAGGAATCTTTGCATCAGGAAATACCTCCTTCAATAAAGATAAGAGTGAATCAAAAGAGGAATTACTCCATCCATGCAGGCCCTTTAGAAGATATATTTGAATGGTGAATGACATCTTGGAAAACTTTTTGCAGCCCGGGTATAAATCTTGATCGGAAGCGTCTAGTAGACTCAAAAAAATGTCTAGTATGTCCATCTGGCTCTCCGCTACCATTATCATCAAGAACTTCTCTTAATAGACCAAGCATATCATCTTCTATCATATCATCGTTGTGGCCATCTTGATCTTCTTTCTCTCCATGGAAAGTCCAAAATGTGTATTTTTTTCATGAACCCATGACAAATCAGGTGCTCGTTCACGACATTTCTTGTTTGCCAAAATATATTCTTACACTTCACACAAGGACAAAGGATCTCATTCCCCTCAGCTGAATTAGAAAAGGCGAAGTCCAGAAAACTCTCTACTCCATTAAGATAGGCGGTACCTGGTCGTGGTTTCGAGAGCCAACTCTTGTCCATCTGCAATATATAAACTGCAAAATGAAATGACCAGAATTAGTGAGTTTATACACACCAAGAGGTAATGAACACAGAAGATACAAAGAGGTAAGCTTCAATTTTCAGCAGTTAGCAATTCAAATAAGCATAAGCACTACACATAGAGATAGCCAGATTACTTTATATGCTATAGCATTAACTAATGAGAGATTTCTGCGAGTGATTACAGTAACTCAAAGCAAAAGACTAAAGGATAAAGCTACTTTGAAATGAAGTTCTGTCAATCATAATTGCAAGCACCCCACAAAGTTTAACTAAACATCTAATAATACAATGCATTCAGTTCATGAAAAGTGTTCTATCTAAGCTTGGGAAACTTGCAGCAGCACATGCTTTTACTTATGTTTCATTTTTCTTGTAGGCTGCAGCTTTCACCAAATCCACATTCTATTTTTCTGTTTCTATAATTTTCCTTCACAAAGTAACTCACCTTGTTGTATCGACTTTGAACACAGATTCTTTTGCTTAATTCTGAATGGGACAGTACCAATTTCAACTACTTACAAGCATATGCAGCACCACCATTGAGCAAATGAATGTAAAATACACTACATCTTCTGAGATCATTACAAGCTATGGTCTCCTACACAGTGGCAATGGCTGGTCAGAATGGGTACCATCACCAGACTGCGTTGAACAAGAAGATCTACAGGATTGTAAAGGCTGGTCGGGACAGCCACTCTGCAAGATTGATTATAACAAGACGATGAATGAGATGACATCAATGGGAGGATTTCCACACTACAGGTGGTGAAGGAAGATTATATAATGATAAAGTTACACTCTGAACTAGTTGCAGCCTTGATTAACTTGCTTTTATTTGGTACTTTCTTGTTATATTTCCAAGGCCTCAATATCTGGAGACTTGAAGGAATCTCCTCCTCGAATCTCTGACTTAATCGTCCTAAACTTAATCCACAAACAACCTAAACAGAGCACCAGACGGTCCACAGACTGCACAAGGAACAGAGCCACGCAGAAATTGGAGAGACCCATAATGGTGGGAGCGATGTAATCAGCATGAAAATTGAGCCACTCAACATAGAACATGTGAAGCAAATTGGGAGCAGCCATCGGAATCCGATGAAGATATTCTGCAGCAGGAGAAGCCTCAAAATAATGCCAGCCTTTTAGGTACGCAGCAACTTCAAACCCCTAAATCACAATTGCTGTTGGTGGAATTGAAGTTCATGTGATTAACATCATAACATCACAGTTCACTAAAAACTGAACAAGGAGAATATAAGCTTAAGAGAAGCAACAAATTGGGATTAGAGGCCTATCTGCTGTCATCTTGCAATGAATGTGAAAAGTTGAACCCCTAAAATCTATCGACAATCCTTGAACTAAAAACAAAAACTATAATTAGAATCACAAAAAAGAGAAAACCATATGCATATAATACACCCAATCCAATTGCGTTCAAGAGTGAGACTTTCTTTATGAAAATTCCAGATGAGTTTCTCAATTTCGCCTATCCAGAACTGATCAAAGGGTGCAAAGCAAAGACAAACCTGCAGAATTTATGAAACTTCGACCATCAAATACTCAAATTAAGATAGTTGTTGCTTGATTTCTGGGTAAGAGCTGCCTTGAACTCCTATTTTATGTTGGAGCTACCTACAAATCCTCTGCTTTGTCTGCTGCTTTGACGCACTGAATCCGCTGTTTGGGATATATTCGATGGCCGCTGCTCTTAGGGATTTGGTTTTTGCTTCATCCTATGTGCAGCGTCCTCAATCCCAGTTGCGGTGAAATTCCCAACAGGAGAGCATCACGCAAGATCGAGGAGGATGCTTGACGGTGGGAGTAAACGAAATCTGTACCGTCGGCGTCAGGGAAAGGAAGATATGACCTTCCAAGTTCTGATGCGTACTGATCGCTGCTACTTGTCCAACCTCTGCTGCAGGTTCAATTTTCCGGCCGATGAACTCGCGTGGAGTTCTCTTTTTCGCGGGAAATTCTGGGTAGAAAGAGAGCTAGAAAGATGCACAAGCTACGGTTTTGGGTAATTTGCAGTTTTATTATTATTTTTGTTTTACTTTTCCTTTTTTTTTTCTATGTTCAGAACTCCCTTTGACTAGTGTTCACGGTTGATGATTGGGATTCTTTTTTTCTCATGTTTTCCGTTTTGGGTATTGCTAGCTAAATTGATCTTCTTGTTAGTTTTGCACTTAACTCTCCAATCAATTAATTCACATTATGGGTGCAATCATGTAAATTTGATGTTTTGCAACACAAATATATAAACCGTTGCGTAAGCTATATAATTAGGCAACTCAAAATTTTATTTTGGCATATGTGTTGCGTATAGGAGAACAAATGCAACATATAAAAAAATTGAGTTGCATAACTATTTAATACGCAACCGAAAATAAAAGTGTTGTCATTATATGACTAGCGAATCACTTTTAAATAGTGTTGCAATCCAAGTGTTGCAAGAGGTCCTTTTTCCCGTAGTGGCTCTAGGGTCAACAGAAGAAGAATTGGCATATTTCCCATCCCAAATTGACGAACAGATCGTCAGAGATAAATTGTTTGAAATACTTCACTCAAATAAGCAAAAAAAAAAGTAGTAGATTAGCTTGAGTGATGTTTGTGAATTATGCCCGTGAAAGGCTGCTTAAATAAAGCCTTGCTATGTCTGCTTATTGGCCAGCCGCCCAGGCTTGAGGAACTAATTGTAGGTGGCATTGATTTGTCATATTGTACAGTAAGATATAAATTAATAATAATAAAAAGTGAATGTAATCTACAAGGTTAGCCGTCCGTCGGCGATTGACTGAAATTGTAAGATTCTTGCCGACGATAATATAAAGTAGTACATGCCAGGAATATCCAGTTAATCCCAGGTCCGGCTTTTCTTGCAGGAGGCAAAGGCGATCACGAAGTTGCATGGAACCCCATCACATTGAAAGATAAAATCCCACCACATGTCCAATCACTGCACACATAGACTGCGTTTACTGGTCACACAGACCGAAATGTACTGTTATAATCCGGATGCTGTCTCTGTGTTGGCTGGAGTTGGGTGAGGGCTCTTTGGATTCTGATGGGAGTTTGACGGGTTGATCGAGATGGAACTAATCGTTGGCTGTGTTTGTCTGTTAGATCGTTTGGGGTTCTGACGCACGTTGGTCACCAAAGCCCTCTCTGTGACTGCACAGGTTGCGCGTTTCGATGTGTCTTGGGGCTGGGATTGGTTATCAATATTGAGATAATAGAGGATTGGGGTCGGCAGAGGCAGAGGCAGAGAGAGAGCTATCGGATATAGAGAGGCTGTGCAGTGATGGTACTTGACCACAAAGACGTAAGGGAGAGCCTCGAGGGGGTGGGGGTTCCATTAGTGGCATAGTGTACTTTGCTTTTGGTGTTCTCTATGGTACTTGAGTGGGAAGCAGAGATATTTTTTTTGTTTTACTTGGTGGGTTAGAGACCACGTAGGTCTTTAATTTTGCCCCACTCATTTTACCTAACCCGCGCAATTCTCTATGCCTGCTTTTTTTTGCTTGGTTTCCGTCGCCAGAGAAGTAATATGATGGTGGGAGTGTTTTTGGTCGCCTCTCTTCCTCTTTTGCTCTCATACCACTCTCTCTTACACTATGTTCTGGAAGGAGAGAAAGGGAAGGAAAGGGAGGGAATTGGGGGTTTCGAGGTGTTTTCCCCCGTTCTCCAAGCCATCAACAGTAAGGAGGGAAAGGAAAGAGGAGAGAAGATTTTCTGTTCCAACTGCCCCTCCAAAGTGGAAGGAAAGTTGCTTTCCTCTGCTCCACGTCTCTCCTTCCTTTTTTCTTTTCAATTCCTTTTGTTTTTTTTTTTATGGAAATCTGTGATGCTTCTTATTAACCATTATAAGCGGCTAGATTATCCAACACTAACTGATTAACCAAAAAGGATGGAGGGCTATCAACCCAAACTACTCGTTCGTCCCAACGCGACTCCGAATGAGCAATACAATGCGCTGCCATATTGCCTTCGCGGTGAACATGCTGCCAAGATCCCAAGCCTGACTCCTCGAGATATCGTCGGATACTTCGACATACAACTCCAATCTCTGAATCAATCTGCTCTGCATCATCAATCTTACCGACTAGACTAAGGCTATCAGTCTCTAAGATGGGGTTCATAAGGTTTGTTGTTTCGCAAGCTGCACTCCAAATTCTGCTGCAAAGGCTTCCGCTTCTTCCACCGCCCAACTTCCACGAAGCCTCTTATTCGCATCCATCAAGAACTGGCCATTAGCGCCTCGTGCTATCATGCCCAAACCAATCCCTCCATCCCGAAAGATTTCCGCATCCGTATTGATTTTCACCCGACCCGCAGCGGGTGGGATCCATCTGGATTGATGTTCACCTTCCGAGAGTATTACTGTTCGAGATTGATGGATCCGATAATCTTCAAGGAATATCTTTGATCGGGGAATGATGTCTAGCTCCTTCAACTTCTTCCCATTAAATAATTGCGCGCTGCGCTCCCGCCACATAAACCAAAGTGTGACACACCATGATTCAAACTCCTCCTCCTTCCTAACTTCCATCACATCTTTCGCCCATTTGTAGCAGTCGTCCGACGTTCTCAATTTGAAGCACTCTGCCAGGTCAGATTGCCGCCATAGTCGAGAACTCCATTCGCAATAACCGAACAGATGAGCTTGTGTCTCTGAGAGCCCGCAAAAAGGGCACATGTCATCCCACCTCCTGCTCCTCGTACTCATCTTATCGCCCGTAGGAAGGATGCCGCGCATAAACCTCCACATAAAATGCTTGGTTTTTGGAGGAATATTCAGCGCCCACAGTTTTTTCCACATCGCCACGTCGCCAAATGGGACTAGCTAATTTTTATCCACAAATTTCTTGAACCACCTCTTGTATCCATCTTTGACAGTGTAATCTCCCGATTCATTATCAGCCCATATCTGCTTATCCCTTTCCCCATGCCCATGAAGAGGGATTTGTAGCACTCTCTGGCCTGCCTCCACCGACATACATGACATAATCATTTCCCAATCCCATTGCTCCGTACCAGGGTCAATGAGTTGGCGAACTGTAGCCTCCGCAGGTAGATTCCTCGGAGCCGAATCAACGAAAGCAGGCGATCCACCAGGGAGCCAACTATCACCCCAAATCTTCACCTCCGACCCGTCCCCGATCCTCCAGCAGAGCTCATCAAGCTCCGCCATATAAAGCTCGCCCGGGGACCAACGTGTGCGTCCAGCACCGAAGTATGCTTGTGATATTTTTCTTTCAGAATTCGGGCAATAAGGGATGATGGCCGCTTGAATAACCTCCACAATTGCTTAGCAAGCATAGCGGTATTAATTCCTTCAAGGTCCCGAAATCCTAAACCACCCTCCTCCTTAGGAAACAGCATCCCCTCCCTCCTCAGCCAGTGAACCCGTCTCTCAGTCCCCTTCTGCCCCCAATAGAAGTTCGTAATAAGGCTATGAACGTCGTTGATGATTGAGGCCGGGACTCGAAACACGGACATGGCATAGGTGAGTTGCGCTTGAGCCACAGCCTTAATAAGAGTCTCTCTTCCCGCCACCGATAGAGTTTTCTCTTTCCATCTCTTCAACTTCTTGCGAATGCGCTCCACCAATCCAGAGAAGATCTCCTTTTTAGATCGGCCTACGACTGTTGGCAAGCCCAGATACTTGTCATGCTTATCAACCAATTTCATTTGCAGGGTAACCGCAACCATCAGCCGCCGGTGAGGAGTGACCTTCTCACTGAAGGAGACAGCTGACTTTGGATAGCTAACATGTTGTCCCGATTCCCTTTCGTACATTTCCAGAATATGCTTCAATACTTCGCTTTCATGCTCAGTCGCCCTACCAAAAAACACAGAGTCATCTGCGAAAAATAAGTGTGAGATGGTTGGAGCTCCACGAGCCGGTTGAATTCCATGTAGTCGCTTTTCACGGACGGCTGCCTTTGTAATGGCTGAGAGCCCCTCGGCACAGAACAATAACAAATATGGTGAGAGAGGGTCACCTTGTCTCAAGCCCCGGCTCGGAACAAATACCTCTGATTGATGACCATTCAATAGGACAGAGTAGGAGACTGTGCGAACACACTTCATGATTAAATCGATCCATCTCTGATCAATACCCATACGGTTCATGACTCCCTCCAGAAAATGCCACTCCACCCGATCATAGGCTTTGACCATGTCAATTTTTGCAGCAAACATTCCCGGTCCTGTCCTCGACTTTGTACTCATCGTATGAAAGCATTCAAAAGCCACCATGATATTATCTGTAATAAACCTTCCTGGGACAAACGCACTCTGTTCCTGCGAAATCACAAGATCCAAGACACCCTTCAGCCGGTTAGCAAGAACTTTTGCCACTAATTTGTACAACACATTGCACAAACTAATAGGTCGGAAATCTTGGGGGTAGTCGGCTCCTTTATCTTCGGGATCAGCACAATGAGGGTGTGTTTTAATAGTGGTGGCATCGGTCCTCCTTCAAGAATTTGTAGCACCGCGTTGGTCACGTCATCTCCCACCACTGACCAGTTATTTTTGAAGAACAATGCTGAAAAGCCATCCACTCCTGGCGCTTTCCTCGAGCCCATTTGTTTGAGGGCACGGTGAACCTCGGTGAATCTGCTCTCTGTCGAACCTTTTGTTTTTCTTTTCAATTCCTTTTGTTTATCTTTCCCAAAGAAAGGTAATAAATTATTATTAAATGACATATAAAAATATTAATGAGCAAAATTATCATTATTACAACGTTGGTAACTGGTAATTAGTAGGTGATATAAATTATCTATTCTCTTTTCTTAATTATATAAGCTTTAGTAATTATCATTTATGTTGTTCTTTATTGTTAAAAGCGGGCTATGTTATGGTATGCAATTTTTGACATATGTTGTAATTAAACGCCTACTTCTTAACTAATATAAAATATTAATCTTTTCAATATAATTTGTGAAACTATATTTCATATTTGCACAAAAAAACATATTTCATATATTTCGAACGGTACGGGCGGCTCTACTAGACCACAACAGACCAAACCGAACGATGACACCAATTGAGTAGAATGTGGTCCGGTACTTGGTCACATGAATTTTACAATTGTTGAAGAAAAAAGGAACTGAATCAACATTTGGATTGGATCAAATGGGTGATTTACGTCAAGTATAATATTCTTTTACGTTATACATAAAATTGTTATGTGAGATATCAAAGTGTGTTACGTTCCTAGTAAAAACGACACCAGAGTGTGAAATTTATACAATTAAAGTTATCTTGTACAACTGAGGTAACCAATTTTTGTGGGGAAAATATTAAATCAAGTTCAAATAAACGAGACTTTAGTTTGAAGAATTTTTTTAATGATGAACCAAATTAGCAAGAAAAAATAAATTTGATTGATTGTTCATAACTTATGAATAGACCATCAACATATAATTATATTATTTTACTATTACATAACCAATAAAAAAAATATATCACAGTTTCCAATACACATTTTCCTTCCACTTTCCTCCATGAAACAACATTTTCTCTCCCTTCCAAATGTTCCTTCCCTTCCATTTTCCTTCCTTCCTTCGAGAACAGAGTGTTAATCTTTCCTCCTCACACATCTTTTCTCTGCGTACCTTTCTCTAATCTTCTTTGTTGATTCTACTCTTCTGGTCATTTTGAGTTGTTGCGGGGTGAAAGCGATCATTGTCGGGTTTGGGAGGTCCATGCAGGTTTTGACGGAGAACTAAATCGACAGGTATGCTTGATATCGTGTAATTCTTTTCGATCTGCCTCTCTTTGTAGCACACTTTTACCCACTTTTCATAGATTGGTTGTTCGTTCTCTTTTAGGAGGAGGAACTTGTGATGGCTAAGGTCTCATAGATTCCGGCATCCAGAGTGGTCGTCGAGGGAACAAGGATTTGCCAATTGTTAGAATACAATCCAAGTACCACATCGAAAATACAAGAGAAGGAACCCTTGTATATTAGAGTCCACCTAGCCCTTTTGGGGAGGACACCCAGGAGTAAAACCGTGCGGGCTTGACCCAAAGCGGACAATATCGTACTAATGGGCTGCCCAGTTATGACAAGTGGTATCAGAGCCGTGGCTGGAAATCAGGCTAGTGTTTTCGATTCAGAAGAATGACGTCGGTGAACATGAAGATCGAAAAGTTCACGGGGAAGAACAGCTTCGCTATATGGCTGATCAAGATGCAGGCTCTATTAAAACAGCAAGGGCTATGGGGGGCCGCTGTCTGCGAAACAGAAGAAGGCAGCGGTCGATGACAATGAGTGGAATACCCTGTAGGAGAAGGCCTACTCGAACATCATGCTATCGTTGTCTGATGACATCATCATTGGATTCGCTGATGAGAAGACTGTCGCGGCTTGTGGTTGAAACTGGAGAGTCTGTATATGACGAAGTCCCTAACCAACAAGCTGCATCTCAAGCAACGGTTGTTCATCTTGATGATGCAAGAAGGTACGCCTTTGAGGGAACATCTCGAACAGCTTAACTCTATTTTGCTGGATCTGCGTAATATAGATGTTCAAGTTGATGACGAGGATGCTGCCCTAATCCTGCTGGTTTCTTTGCCGAGTTCATATGAGAATTTCGTTGATTCTTTTATTGCCGGTAAAGAAAGCGTGTCGTTGGAGGATGTCAGGTCTGCTCTTCATACGAGAGAGATCGGACATAAGGCGTCCGGATCTGGTACAGGTGGTGAGGCATTGGGTTTGGCTGTTACAGGTGGAAAGGGAAAGAAGAAATCCGGTAAAGGGAATTCGAACAAGAATTCCAAGGGTCCCGGTCAACAGCCAGGTGATGCTTGTCACAACTGTAAGGAAGTGGGGCATTGGAAGTAGAACTGTCCCAAGAGAAGAGGGCAACAGAAGAAACAAGGTTCAGTTGCCGTGGCAGAAGTGGACAACAGTTCTGAAGACGATCTCTCCTTGGCTGTAGATGAGAAGGCACATCGTGGGGATGTGTGGTTTCTGGATACTGCAGCATCATACCATATGTCTCCGAACAGGGATTGCTTCACAACATACGAGCAGATAGATGGTGGTAACGTGGTCATGGCTAATGGAGCTGTCTG